CAGCGGTGCCTGGACAGTGTGACGTGTGTGGTTGTGCTGCTGCCGTGGTCCTGCCAGATGCCTCCTGCTGCTGCTGCCATCATTAGTCATTAGTCATACTTCTACTGTTATTATACACATATGACTATTGTCACACAAGTATACTGTCTGATATTAATACATACTTTCAACATATTGTACCACAGTAGCCAGAACTATAACTATAATATTATTACTTTCATTAATGTTGTTGTAAGCTACTGTCATTACCTGCATCTCTCTCTCTCTCTCTCTGTCTCTCTCTCTCTCTCTGTCTCATTGTGTCATATGGATTACTGTTAATTTATTATACTGATCTGTTCTGTACGACATCTATTGCACGTCTGTCCGTCCTGGAAGAGGGATCCCTCCTCAGTTGCTCTTCCTGAGGTTTCTACCGTTTTTTTTCCCCGTTAAAGGGTTTTTTTTGGGGGGAGTTTTTCCTTATCCGCTGTGAGGGTCTTAAGGACAGAGGGATGTCGTATGCTGTAAAGCCCTGTGAGGCAAATTGTGATTTGTGATATTGGGCTTTATAAATAAAATTGATTGATTGATTGATTGATTGACTTAGGAGACAGGAAGAGTAACCGTTTTCTTAACATTGGATAAGCCTACAGTTGGGTATCTCCCTTCATCCAATATCTCTGACTGAAGTGCTCATAAACAGTATTACTACAGCTTTCACTACTGTTGATAGCAAGAGAAGCCATATTGGATTTTGAGGTTGGGGTTGGTGAGGTTCCTTCGACTTTCTGAACTGGAATCTGACTTCACAGGGCATTCCAGTTAAAATTTCCAACTGGGCACTCAGAAATTTCCCAGTACAAATGGAATGCACCATCAAAGTCTGATTCGGCATGTATGGAGGGAGCTGAGCTCGTTAGCAGCTAAGGGTGTTAACACCATGAGCAGTGTTAACAATGACAATGACGCCATGGGTCGGGGCGGCATTATCATTGGTAACCAGTGGTGTAATGCAACAAAATAATATTACTTTGTTACAATACTTTAGTATTTTTTTGAAGTATATGTACTTCACTTGAGTTTTTATTTTCCTGTCAACTTTCTCTGTTACTCAAAAATAGTAATATTCTAATTGGTGACTTTAACTTCTACCAGAGTCATTTTCTGGAAGATATCGGTACTTTTACACAAGTATGGCTTTCGCTTCCTCCACCACTGGCAGTAATCACCTTGTAACAACAATGGAGAGCACCGGCTATTAGCTAGTGAGTGGGAAACTCTCTCAGGGACTCACATGCCCTAACATAAGCACACTACCGGACCGTCTACCACAACAAAACACAGAGAAGCTTGGATTACAACAGAAACACTGAGAATGCCACTTCATTCTCTGCTCAGGATGCCATTACTCCACTGTATCTTTACAAAGCAAAGATTGGTTTGCTGTTGTATTAATGTTCTGATTTCATGTTTCAGAGCAGTAAACAGCTCAACAACACTGTCAGTATTCTCATAAAGCTTTTTTCCTGTTTGTTTTTTCCATCAGGCATCAGACCAAACTCAGAGTTCCTGCAGGGCAGCAAAATACAGATGGACTCGAAAAACTTTGTAATAGTCGACAAGGTCAGCTATAATAACCTGCTGTTCACCTGATTATCTAGATCTCATTTTGTGCTTTTGTTCTCAACACTTCTTATGTTTTATTTCCTCATTTTGTGGGGTCTTACAGACTCCCACAGGCTTTAGTGTTAATAAACATTCCTCACATTAATGAGTAAAATGTGCACCATTATTCATCTTCTCCCTGCCTGTATCTCTCTCTTGCAGTACATGCGCACCAACATCCCCGATGTGTTCTGTGGGGGCGACCTGGCCACCTTCCCCCTGATGATGGCCAAAAACCAGCTAGTCAACATAGGACACTGGCAGATGGCACAAGCACATGGTAATGTAGTAACAATGTAAATGTAGCCACAGAGTCCTAGAAGACAGACTTCAGATAGACAATATTATCTTTTATTCCAGTTTGAGTATGTTCATGTATTTTTTAAATTGTTGTTTAGGGAGGATAGCGGCTCTAAACATGCTGGATAAAAAGATTGAACTCAGCTCAGTTCCTTTCTACTGGACCGTCCTACTGAATAAAACCATTCGATATGCAGGTGGGTGCGCGCACACACAACAGTGACAAACTCACTTTATGCACAAATTATGAAATACATTTAATCCTGCCATAACAGGATTTCTGATTTTCCCTGATTATCACCACTGAATGTAACTTGTGTTTTTATTCTGGTTGAGTGCAGGCTATGGGGAGGGATACACTGATCTTGTAATGAAAGGAAAGGTTGAGGACAGGAAGTTCTTGGCATTGTACATCAAGTAAGTTACAAAAAATAGCTGTTGTTGTTGACAAAAAAAATATATGTGGTTGGAAACATTTAAAGGTCCTTGACTTTAAAACATTTCCAATTTTATATCTGATTATGTTGACTGTTTTGTTTTACTTGCTTGTTTTATTAACTAACTGGCACCTGATCAGATGTAGCACTCCTAATCTCATTGTATATTCTTTGTACAATGACAATAAAGGCTTTCTGTTCTATTTTATTCTGTTGAATATTTGCCTACACATGTAATTCATTTTACCTGTAGGGATGATGAGGTCATAGCAGCAGCGAGCCTAAACTATGACCCAGCAGTGTCTGCAGTAGCTGAGCGGCTCGCAATAGGAAAAATCATCACGAAGAAAGAGGCTGAGTGTGTAAAATCTCTCTGTTTTCATGCTACTTTCTTTCTTTACTTCTTTCTTTCTTTCTTTGGATAATTCTGGTAATACTTTAGGCATATCTGCCACCCCCAAGTGACCAAGTACTCGCCCTGTGTTACATTAAATTTGTGAAGAAAACTTTTTTTTTTTTTTTTTACACATGCCTCCACGGTTAACGAGAAATCCAAAAAGGGAGAAAATTCTTGATAAATTGAAGTCAAAGGCACCCGCTTTTATCAACAGCAAGACTATATCAAAACATTTTCAAACTCTCACACAAGTTGTGCAGTATAATCTGAATGCCATTTATCTAGTCGTATGCTTAGTGCTTCCCAAGCACATGTATTTTTGCTTTGCTTTTTGCTGTTTAAAACTGAACTGAAAGTGTTGCTTATATAGTGAAGCTTATATAAGCTTTTCTCTCTGCCAGACTGAACACAGGAGCTGCTGGTCTACCACTGCCTCCATCAGTTACTTTGTGTTATTGCGTGACTTTGGCGTTTTAAAGGATTTGTTCAGATTCATCAAAGTCCCACAATGGCACAACCAAACTACCAATTGAGGCAGTAGTAAACAACCCAGACTCCCTCCGAAATCGTCAAAATCCGGCGCTTGGGCAGTGACTTGCAGCGTCAGATACTGACGGAGAAAGCTGTCCTTTAACATTGGCATGATACGCGGCCTGTTGCTGGTATAGTTCACCGGCATCTGGCGGTATCGGGGGAAACACGGTGGGACAAGAAAGAAAGTTAAGGCAGCAAAACTCAGGGTAGGGTGGGTGGGTCCAAAAAACCCTGACCTTCACCCGGGAAACCAGTGTTTGCGTCCTGTAAGATTATAGAGCCAAACCCTGTTCTCTTTCCTAAACCCAACCATGTGCATTAGTTGTTGAAGGAAAAAAAACGTAAATTCGCAGTGTTGTATCTACGTAGTGCGTTTATTTTGAAAGAGACTGTATGCAAACAGAAAATTTCCTGTGAAAACAGAAGTGTGTTTTGAAAGAATACACTGCAAGTAAAAGGCACAGGTGACACAGCGTCCCAGATCATCAACAACCAACGCACCCATGATACCTTGCACGTCGTATCTGGAAATGGAAAGTCCATGACTAAATGTCAATATGTGACGAGGTCAGAGTGAGAATGTGTTGGTCTGGATAAATGAGACTTGGATTATACTGCACGAGTTGTGCGAGAGTTTGTAAACAAATGTTTTGATACAGTTTTGCTGTTGTTAAAAGCGGACCCCTACAACTTCAATTCATCAAGAATTTCCTACTTTTTTTGATTCTTTATTTATCGTGGAGGCACGCAATTAAAACAAATTTTACTTCATGAATTCAACGTAACATAGAGTGAGTTATTGATATACAAATGATCATTTACGGGTTGTTTTATTCCTTTAAGTGACCTTAGCTCTGTGGTTCGAATTGAATGGCAATACATGAGAGGAACAAACTGGGGGTTATCAGGTGCATCAAACAATGTAAAAACATGTCCTGTCTTTTTTTCTCCCTGACAGATCAGATGACCTGAGCTGGCTGCAGTTGCCCCAATCTACACTTTCCCCCACTCTCACACTAAACACGCCATCTGCACAATGTTGACATGTAGCCAGAATCTCATTCATCTGTCTCCTCGTCACCACCGCTCTCACCAAGAAGAGTTTGGAGACCTGGATTAACAAGTTTGACTCAGAAGAGACAGACCTAACATGAACCACAGTGAAGTTTATATTAACAGTGTTGAAGTATTGGGTTTAAACTGTGCGTCACACACTCAGTGTTCAGGTGAGGGGGACTCCACCATGCAAACAACAGATACCTCAGACGGATGCAGCTTTCGAGACTTCTTTTATAATTTTAATATTTTTTATTATTTCTTTAGAGTTTTTTCATGGTTTTATGTCTCCAGGGGTATTTCAGTGACAGTCCAGAGACATCATACTCACGATGCCTCAGTATGTTCTCTGCTGTTGATCTTTAAAAGGCGGTGTACGATACCTTTTACTTGGATGGGGCTGCTGGAAAAACACAAGTGCCCTTAATGCCCGCTGCAGCCATGTGCGTGGTCCGGTCAATGAGTTGGAGGGGGGATTATGAGAACAGAGGGGGAGTGCTCAGCTCTTTGAAGCAGAGATGCTGAAATAGGCAATGGTAACAATAGGCCTCCGACAAACAGCACACAAATGCAGTGTGACAAAACCTGCACAAAAGAAGTGCTGGGTTTTTCTCTCTCCCCCCTCTGTCTCTCTGCTGGTTTATCACTGTCTTTACTGCACATCTCCTCATTTACTTTTAGCTTCACTCTCTCTTCCTGTCAGTATGGCTACATACAGTTCACTGCATCCAGGATTCAACTGGTGCAGACTCTTCAAAGCTAGTGCCAGATAATTTAGGACTGAAGGTGCCAATAACTTCTATATTGTACTAATGTTGTATGTAATTTTATTTTTTTTTTCTTCATTTTTTAACAGTATTTAGATCATGATCAGAATATCAATATGCCTCTGGATATAATACATTGCAGGATAATTAATTGAAAAATTGTTACTAGAAAAAAATAACCAGACAAGAAACTTTATTCTCTTTTTCTTTTTTTTGGGTGAACAGAGCAAATTTTTAGGCTACCTGATGTAGTCCTGTCGCCAGAAGATGATGTTGGCATTATACATTTCTGCAAACCATGGACGGTGTGAAAATTATGCAAAGTTTAGAGAGTCATCGCTTCATTTTCAGCTGCGTTTTAGCCACCAAACATCGGTGTTTTTGAGTGATCTGTCACTGTGTTTCCACCTGGTACTGTGCAATGAAAAGTGGTTGTTATCTACCAAGACATCGCTGCGTTTCCTGCCAGGACAGTGACAACAGAGACACAAAAACCGATAATTTTTTACCAAGACATCGCTGTTTTTTCAGTAAGGATTGTGCCACCAAGAGCAAATATTTTAAGCCAAAACATGATCTTTTCCTTACCAAGTGGTTTTTGTGCCTAATACTAACCACACATTAACCATGGTGTCGTTGAAACATACAGAATGTAGTGTTTCAACGTATCCTCTACATCAGTGGTTTCCAACTGGTCCAGCCACAGGGTCCAGATTTCTCCTTAGTCATTAGTTCAAGGTCCACACAGTTTAACACATTCAGCATCATACTTGTGTTTAGCCATGTGGTCAAGCTAGTTTGCTGTCTCTGTGAAGTAGCTGTCCGTTAGTAACTCACTCTACAGCAAGAGACAGCATTTCAAAATAAAAACTCTGTACTGGAAATTCACTGTACTTCAAAATAAAGTGTGTTTTTAATGGACCCACTTTTGGACCATGTCCCACCAGTTAGGAAGCACTGCTCTACATAATAACTTACAAATGTAACATATCCGTGGTTTGCCAACATGTATTCCACCAACTGGGTTGCATCGACATATACAGATCTGTCAACACAATTATGATGAAACAAAAACTTCCACTCTTGAAGCTAATTGTAAAATATTTTCCATCTTTCTGCTCGTCTCATCGGCAGAAGGCAACACTGACTGTCCTGATATTCCTGCAACCTCACATCTCTCTGAGAACTGCATTTACAGCATCATACTGTCAAGTATCAGCTTAAAATGTTAATGTATCTACCAGGAACAGCTTTATATTGTTACAGTGAGTAATTTAGCATATTATGTATTCTTGAGGTAAGACAGAAAATATCAGCTTTGTTATCCTGAGGATTTCAAGTTAAGACGTTCTCTGCCTCTGAGTTATAATGCTGAATATCAGTCCTCTTGCTTTGTTATCAATGCAAAGTGAACCCTGATGCCCAGGGAGAAATAACAGGGATGTATTTGTCATTTGAACTTTTTTGTCTTGTGTTTCACTTTGTTCAAGCATATTAAAAAATCTCAGGCACAACAGATCTGTGTGTTTTTGCACTCATTGCCTTGTCAGTAGTGGAGCGTCTGATTCACTCAGGGAAGATGCAACTTTTCTGCCACCCATTGTCCAACAGAGGAAGTGTTTCTAAGATCTTTTTTAAAAGGTATCTTTTTAAAGTATCCTTCACTTCAGGACTTGGAGCATTAGCAGGATGTCTGCAGTTATCAGTAATTTGAATTGCTTGAAATGCTTTTTAAAGATCTATTCAAGCTTATTTTGAATCAAATTTAAGACTGATTTTTGGACAATTAAGCCTTTTCTTATTCAAGGATTGCAGATGGGTATAAAGGTAAGTAGTAGCCTATATATGTAGTGCTGTGCAGAGGTAGGTTTTAATGGTTATTAAACTAAGTAAGATTAATCTACATTTTGCTAACAGGTAAATGAAGGTATAACATAAAAAACAATATTAAGTTCAGTGGTGAGTTTAAAGATTTGTTACATCAGAAATGTGGACTTTCACACACAACAGCTTGATTCGTTTCAAGACAAAAAAAATTCAAACACGGGTAAATTAAATTAGGCTACATAAAAAATATGTGTGGCCTCACAACTGAAATTTAAGACTATTCAGTGACACGACTTTTTGAGGATCCCCGGACAGCCTGACTAGATCACCAGTACAGCAGGTCAGACAATATTCTTTACAATTTGAGCTTTTGAACACATTAAATTAGACAGTGTGACTGCATATTAGCATTATGTTTATAGTCACACACAATTCTAATTTAACAACTCCACAACTGCTCTGGAAAATGGCTTTCTGGGTATTTTTTTTTAAAATGAAGATAAAAGAAAAGAAAAGAAAAGGATAAGAGAACTGCTAACATGCTTTTTAAAATTCCTCAGTTGTGGGAATAAAAAAAAGTGTCATGTGTCCTCCATCCATTTATCCCTCCTCCACATCACCGACCTGTGGACACGCAGATGTCAGGGGGGGTTAATGGTATTATCCTGATTGGGTTTCAGTCCTGAAAGATTACATAATTTAGAGGCACAAGATAAATGGTGCAAATCCTCTATTAAGTTTTTAACAGGCCCACTGACCAGGAGCAGGTCCTGTCCTCGTCCACTAACAGTTGTGACACTGTGGGTACGTGTTAGTTTTGTACCTGATAGAAAAAGCATTTCTGTCTGATGCATTGAAGGTCATTGAACTGGCAACATGCTCAGTTTCCCTTTGGTCCAATGTCTTACCGGCACCCAAAGATTGTCACTCTGTGGCTAAATCTATTTTAAACTGTCAACAAATAAAGCCTGAGATGACTAACAGCACGAGGCGTTCACTGGCTTCTTAATTCAGTCTGTGCTCAAATGCAGTATTGACGCCTTTTTCTCTTTGCTCTCTCAAGAAAAAGTCTGTCTCAAGGCAACCTGACTTTCTTTTAACAGAGCGTCTCTGTGTGCGATGTAACGCTGCCGCCTGTTGGCCCTGTACAGCTCCAGCCTCTTCTCCTCAGCCTGGGGGTCCTCCAGCACTCCTTCCCACCTCAGGCTCTCCCTGGCCTGGGTGCTGAGCTCCCCACTGGCTTTGTTTGTCACTGTCAGCAGGTCCGGTGAACCCTTTGGATGTTTTTTGCTCCTCTGGCCACTGCCAGCGAGCCGTTCTCCGTCCTTCCTACTGGTCGCTCTGAGCTTGGGCAGCTGTGTTTGAAGCTGACCTGGACTCTGTAGGGGCAGCACGGACATCAGCGAGGCCTCAGGGGGCAAAGACACAGCCTGAGGTTTCTCTGCAGGGAGGCAACATAAACATATAGCACAAACAAAGCTGAGGGTTTAGATTACTAATGACTCCCTCTGGAGTCGGAGGGCTAATGGCTTGGTCGGTTTACAGTAATGAGGTGTAATAGACCAGCCAGGGGAAGCGACACTGGGGGCCTATTCTCTATTGACCTATTCAACCCTGTAGGGAATCCTCTACCTACACCACATGATCTTTTTACTTGTGTTTACATTGTGTAGAATGACAGTGACCTTGGTATGAACTGCGAGAGCGATGAGACATTAATGTCAGTTCAAATAATTGGTTCAGTCTGTGCTCCTTAACTCTGCATTATGACTAATTTTAAATGCAGGGCTTTCGGGCTTTTCATTTTGTGTATTAATATGTGTTTCATGGTCTGCTTGTAGACAATCTGTTTCCAATAAAGACTATGGCACAATCATTTAATTTCCTTTACTGTAACAAAGCCTCGGGTCCCACATCCATTTTTCAGTGCTCCATATTTGTCACGGGAATGCATGAGGATGTCAAACCCCCATCTGTCTCTCTAATAAAGGCCTAAAAAATGTTTTTGAGAAAAACATTTGATTGACATGTCTACAACAGACTGGTGATGGCTGATGTCAGTTACCATGATGAGACAATAAGCAGGTTTGTTATATTTCCTTGACTATACTGTAGTTTAATACAACAAAAAAGTAAACTTAGAAATATATATATATAGGCCTATATAAAGACAGATATTCCTGCATTCAAAATTTTATATATAAAATATATGAAATATATGTAAAATCATGAAAAGTAAAATCATTTATTATAAAGAATCATGCATAATATTACTGTTGATACCTTAGCAGTACTTTTCTCTGGGTGGAACTTGATGGTACTTGCTGCTGGGTATCTTAAACTTATTCAAGGTTCATGTTACTACGAATTGCACAGTAGGCTACATTGTGCATGCCTAATCCAAATCTGAACTCCACCTACTGTCCTGGGGATATAAATTACAATATTTCCCTGAAAATATGAAAGACACTATTTAAAAGAAGTGTCATGTAGGGACAGCAACTAATTATTATTTCATTATTAATAAATCTGTTGATTATTTCTTGATCAATCTATCAGTCTGTCTGTTTTGAAAACGTTAGAAAAATAAAGAAATGTTTCAAGTGTCGAAAATAATCAATTGATTGTAGAACTGATGCAGATTAGTTTTCTGTCCATTGACTAATCAGTTAATCCTTCATATTTTTAGTGTCTCAAAATTGTAATTATAGCACTTGAGTTTAAGATTTATTCACCTCTGGAATTAAAGAAAGGACTTGATAGTCTTTTACATTTGGGATTTCAGTGTCTTGAAACGGTCACAGTGTTTCTGACTGTTGAGGAAAAAACTTCAGTTTTTCAGATGAGTTCATGCATGTACACGAACTAAAATGAAACAAGAACAGCTTTCAGTTTACGCCTTGGATGGGCGTTTTTGGTAAATTTAAATGGGACTTTTACAAGATGCTTATATAACCAAACCCAGGGGAATAATCAATAATCTTATACAACTTTGGGTGCAGGGCTTTTACTTGTAATGTGTTATGTTTACATAATTGTTTTCACCCAGCACTATAAAGTGTATTTACCTGTATTTTCTGGAGGAGTGGTGGAAACAGTGGCTTTCTTTCTTTTCTTCTGGGTTTTCTTCTTCTTATTGTCAGAGCTCCTGGATGGCTGCAGCACCTTACAGTTTTTGTCCTCTGGCATCATGTAGTCTTGGCACACTGTGCTAATAAAACCGACTGTGCAGGCTAAACAAGTTAACTGAGTCTGCGGACGACTGTGCTTAAGGAGAACATGCTCCTCACAAGAATCCTCTCCAGAAGCGGAGCTGTCGACAGCTTCCGTCCTATCAAGCTACTTCATTTCCCGTGATATAAAATAACTTTGTATGCTGCACAACGAGGCAGGAGAAAGTGCAAAACGCTGCATGCTATGTGGCTAATTTCCTATTTGATCCGGGATACGTACCTCCACAATCACGCTTCACCGCAGCGTTGCCAAGTGACGCGTCTCCATGGCAACAGGACGCACGTTCTCAGAGAGGAGAAACATGAAGGTTCACAGCCTCTCTCTTTTGTTTTTTAAGTTTTACAAACCACTGAGGGTGTTTTCTTTTTAGAATAAAACTATATTTGTTCCGGTAAACACACACAAAACGTTGCGCATGTTCTGATTAATTATCTAGGCAAAATTTAAGTATATCCTAATTGATTTAAATTCAGAATCAACGTTTAGAGACGAATAAACGACATTAATTTACTGGAAAACCCGTTCCTAACGACAAGTTAGTCAGTATTGTCTGCACGCTTAGGTAATAAACCAATCACCATGGGTTAGGTAGCTTTATTCTAAGGCTTGGAGACAGTAGCAGCTTGTTTATATCCATTATGACTTGCAATTTCAGTACATTGCGTATCAACGTCACTCCATTCCCCATATTAAATTGCAAAGATATGACCCCGACGTGATTTGAACACGCAACCTTCTGATCTGGAGTCAGACGCGCTACCGTTGCGCCACGAGGTCCTGGTGGCTTGCACAGTTTCACAGTCGGAATAGCCATATATGGGGTGATTATCAAGGACTGATGTGATTGTATGTTGGTGAAGATTCTCAGTCATCCAGATCATGGTGATATTCAGTACTGTATCACAGGCAACTGGACTTGCTTGAGTTTCTTGAAGACGTTTCACCTCTCATCCAGTTGCCTACAATAATGCACTTATAACCACTTGATTAAATATACAATCATGATCAATGAGCTATATAAGAATGAGCTACTGGCCAAGTGTGTGTATGCACATGTAGGCTACACACTCCAGTTAGTCAGTGCTCAAAAATAAAAAGGTATATTTTTTAATTTCTACTTTTCTAAATGATCACACTAAATCACTGAGTTGTAGAAACTCATCTCTATTGTACTAATAAGGTAGTATTGCTATTAGTCGCTGGCTCAAACATTTATAACATTACTTTTGTACTTATTATGACCCATTAAATATTTTATTTCTACAAAATGTTGCCCATTGTAGTTCTATCTTTTGTAATTTAAAGTCTCATAGAAGAGTCTCATTCTTTGCCATACTTTTTTTTTGGTTGTCTTGTTAGTGAGCTTAATCCTGCTCTGTTGCCAGCAACTGGGGCTAAATGATAAGTGATCCTAAGTTCATCTACTTCTGAGACAGTTTAACAAACACTGAAGCCCTCTGCTGGACACTAAACAAACTTGATAAATGCAAACAGAAAACTTTAACTGCAAAGCTTCCTGTCGTCACTGTGAAATTAAATCTTAATACAAGCAAGCACACATGACCGTATGAAACCAGAGCAGTGTGAGACCTGTTGGTCTAAACTATTTTAAGCCCTTGGATACATTTGGGCAGTGGTCATTCAGCCGTTAATGTGTTACTTTGAGTAAGCTGGACAGAGTAGCTGGCTGGCCTTTAGCTGAAGCCACATTATAAAGAAACAAGAGACTGACTGTGTAAATGTAAAAGATTCCACAGCTTCTTTTTATGTGACACTTAATTTTATTCTCATAAAACTGACATCAGAGTGAATCATTTGAAGTCTGCAAAGGTTTACAGTGAGACTAAGAGACTTACAAAAGAACAACATTACAACAACATTAACATTCATATGGAGTCGTGTTTCTCACCTGATGAATTAAAGTCTAACGTTTGCTCTCGTTTTTGCACTATACGGGCTCCCTGTGGGACATATCTGGCTCACTAGCTGCTAGCTGCTCCTTTATGTCCACCAGCTAGTTGCCTTTGCAGGTCATGTACAGTGAGTTTTTAGGGCTTTTTCACTGAAATCAGCTGCCTGCTGCAGCCAAAAATGACCCAATACTGCAAGAGCAGCGAGACTAAACCAAAACAGAAAAGTATCTGAGCCAGAAAATCAACAAAAGCTGAAACTCACTATGAAACATGTACAACTGAGGACAAGTGAAGTGTTGGATGATAATTCTCTGAGGTTGTGACGAGTGACCATTTCTGAGTACAAGTAGTCATGCCATCCATGTGAATACCAAAATATTGATTATAGCAGCTTTAATGGCTGTTTCATTTCCTCAATTTTAGAAAGGTTAGCTAAATCTTGAACAGCTGATGGACTTTTTAAGAATACTTCACCCCACAAAATGAACATTTGCTTATCAATTCATGCAGTGTCACCTTAAATTTTGCTTCTTTCATATGCCTCAACGCTATGCAGCAGACATATGGATTTATCCTTGTAGGCTCAAGACTTCTCAAACACATGCATTAGCACTTCGCTATTTAAAACTGAATTTAAAGTGAAACTGGTCCACTTTTGTTGTTTTTTTTTTGTTTTTTTTTACAAAAATGCATGTTGTTTTGTGGGTGATGTAGTCCTTTAATCTCCTGAAAGTGTTCTTATTACCATTAGTGATAGTAGTAGTATAAGTAGTATTTCCTGTATTTAATTCTGTATCAAGAGAAAAAAAAACATTCATGCACTGATTTGTTTAAGTGGGAAAAAAGTTGCGTGCTAATGTGTTTCACTGATGTCCAAGAAACTTGATACTATTTATGAAACCATGTTCTTTTAAATTGCTGCATGGGGAATTTACATGTCGCCTCTGACAACATCCACAGTGCGCAGCCTGGTATTTCCCAGGGAGTTTCCACCCTATTCCTGTTCCATAGAATCCAGTCCGCCACTGGTTCCTCTGCACTCCTCAGTTCCTCAGTCACATGCATGTACACACAGAAACACACACACACACACACACACACACACACACACACACACACACACAAGTTAATTGATATGACTCTTTGAAGCACAATCCCTTTTAAAATATAAAACACAACTTATCCTTTCTAATAATTACTTGGGGACTAAATTTGGATGCTATGCTCTGTCTGCTATTAAAACATACACCCACTAGTGCTAAGAATAGTCTCAAACTCTGAGCTCAAACAAGTCTGTCCTGCTTCTGCATTCCCCCCCCACATATCTGAGCACTTCCAGTAAGAACTACAGGAAGAAAGAAGATAAATCATAACGCTGAGTCAGAGAGCACACGTAACATTTATTTATGCAGTACCCTATAGTGACAAAGTTCACAGAGACACAGGCATTATATAGGTGTTTTTTAAAAGAAAGAAGTTGTCTGTCAGGGTATCACAAAAACAAAAACACATTTACACTTGTTTAATTTTCACACAACCTTTGACCCACAATCCAGTCTTTATGGGAGTGTGGGAAAATGTGACATGCATACTTCTCCATCTGGTGCAGACATCATTACACCAACAGATCTTGAGTGGCAGTAAGTGCCTAAAGTGTCAGGGCCCCCTGGCCTTCACTTGCCAAATGTCATTTAAATCAACATGTACTGTCCAAATGACCTCAAAGAAACAAACAAACAAAAAAAACCCACAAAGAGATGCAAGGGAACTGCAAAGAGACGAAATAGCTACAAAAATGGGCAAACCAACCCAGCCTCTCACTCTGAAGTTGTCAAAAGCTGGCACCTGTAAGTGTATTTTCAAGGAAGACAATGTATGTAACAGGCAGAACTTGAAACGGCGTCCCAGAACGTCAACAACCAACGCACCCAGGGTACCTTGCACATCATATCTAGATATGGAAATTCCATAACCAAATGTCAGAGTGAGAAGTATTAGCAAAACAACCACAACAAACACACAATGACTACAAAGCGCAACACATTCTCACCCCGACCTCGTTACATATTGACGTTCGGTCATGGACTTTCCACATCAGAAAAGACATGAAAGGTACACTGGATGTGTTGGTTGTTGATGTTCTGGGATGCCGTGTCAAGTTCTGCCTGTTAAATGCATTGTCTTCTTTCAAAATAGGGGAGACCGGGGATGGTTGTAACAAAGGGATAGTTGTAACACTCTCAGTTTGGCTAATTAACTCTTCGAAAGTGTTTACTGTTCAACTGTTAAAATGCTGTTCAAACGTCAACCTCATTCAGGCTACAACACACACACACACACAGGTTAATACTTTATTATTCTTGATTTTATTTTATGTTATATATTTTTATTTATTTTATTGTACTTATTTTTGTATTTATGTTATACATTTCTGTTTATTTTAATATCATAATTATTGTATTCTTACAAGTTTATTGTTCCTTCTTTATTATTCAATGAAGTGCTTGAATACATTTAGCCTATTGTGAATTTTTTTTAAGCACAATAATTTAATTGTTACATCCATCCCCCAGCTAGTGTTACAACTCACCCCGGTACTGGGGTACGTTGTAACAATATACCTCTTTGTATTTGACATTAATTTCCATAATCTGTGATGGTGTAGTAGAGGTCAAAGTGTGTGTTACTTATAGCAGACAAATATGGGTACCACGTATCAAAATTTAAGAGCTCTAACAAAAAAACCCACTGAGTTACACTTGCTCAAACAAAAAGTGTTACAATCATCCCCGGTCTCCCCTCCACTTCAGTTTTCACAGGAAATTTACTGTTTACATACAGTCTCTTTCAAAATAAATGTACTACATCGGTACAACAACGTGAATCTTTGTTTCTTTTTCCTTCAACATCAAAAACACGTGGTTAACTTCAGACAATGAAAGCACACGGTTGAGTTTAGGAATAGGCTTTATAATCTTACGGGACGCGAACACCACTCTCTTAGGTGGAAGTCAGTGGTTGTTGGACCCATCCACCACCCCTGCCACCCTTCCTCCTTGGAGTTTTGCCACCTTAACTTTCATTCTTATCCCACTGTGTCTCCCCCTGAGGCCGCCAAGCACCATTCAACCACAACAGCAACCGACCGCGTATCATGCCAACATTAGAGGATGGCTTTTTTTGTCAGTGTCTGACCCTGCAAGTCACTGCTCAACTGCCAGATTTTGACGATTTTGGAGTGAGACTGGGTTGCAAAGTGACATAAAACCACAAAAAGATGTATAATGACTACAGAGAGATGCAAAACCACCACAAAGTCTGTGTGTGTTCCACCTGTGTCGGAGAAGTGATGGGGTCCTTTGTTTATCTGTGCCCAGGGGTCCATTGTCTCATAGTCCGCCCATGCTTAAATGGTGAAGCAGGTTACTGAGTCACAAATTCCAAGTATAATTTATTCTTTGGGCCGAATTAGTACCTAAAATAAGTGAATGTTTTTGTGACCTTAACCAAGTATTTTACTGATGAGCTCATAACAAAAGATTCCCAAATATTACACAGCAGGCTGTGAAAATAGTGAAGGGCACATTTTTGGAGGCAATAAGCTACTCATACCAAACAACACTGTGAGTGATACAATGAACTGTCTGTCCTTTATTTTCAATACTGATCATACATAATGTTGCCTATTAGTGTTTTAATGATGAGCACTGATTCATAATGACTTCCACCTCCACCAATGCCTAAAAAGGACGTTGTGGCTGAATCAGAAAGATATGAAGGTTATCAGCTTGCAATGGAGTAAAAATGGAGTAACTGACATTTCCACAGACACAACGTCCATATCCATGAGACTGGTTTTATTTCTTATTAAATCATATTCAAATTCTCATATTCAGGAGGGGAAAAATCATAAAGTTGTTACAAAACAGGCAGAGGAAGGAGAAGACGTAGGAATGAGACAGCGGGTTTGGTCTCGTGAGGATTTGCTGTGTGTGTCAGGTGACAGTGAGGAAGCAGATTCCCAAACTGCAGCAACCTTAAAGCTGCAGAGTGACAGGCTCAGGTTCACAGCAGAGAGAGAGACTGCGAAAAGGACACCGGCCTTACAGTCTTTGCTGTGTGTGTGAGTGTCCGTGTGCATCACTGTTGAGAGGGTAACACGTTCATCTGGACCTGCTGATGTCTCTGGAGGCCATTTGCAGACTCATTTGCAGTCTTAACACAGTGTTTGTGCAGTTAGTAGCAAGTTCAAACTGAAACATCAACAGCTGCTTTGTCAGAAAACTTTTCTAGAATCTTTTAAATGTTGACCCCCACAAAGAGAGCGTTGGAAAGTCCTTCCGAAATTACATCTTGTTCCCAAGCTAGATGAGATATGTTATCCCTCCAGGTTGTCTGGGTCTACCCCGGGACCTCCAACCAGTGGGACGTGCCCGAAACACCTCCAGCTGGAGGCGCCCAGGAGGCATCCTGATCAGATGCCCAAACCACCTCAACTGACCCCTTTTTGCATGAAGGAGCAGCGGCTCTACTCTGAGCTCCCAACAGATGTCCAAGCTCCTCACCTTTTCTCTAAGGCCGAGCCCAGCCACCCCACAGAGGAAACAAATTTCGGCTGCTTGTATTCGCGATCTCATTCTTTCGGTCACTACCCAGAGCCATGACCACAGGTGAGGGTTGGGATGTAGATTTAAAGCTTAGTCTCCCCAGAAGTTTCAGCTGGTTGCAATCTACAATCCTCACTGCTAGACGCCTCTGAACCTCCCTAAATCTTACACACTGTTCCTTTAACACAAGGATTTTATTGCTATGCAGCATTTTTGGTCTGGGGCTAATACTGACTAAAACTGGTAAACTTCAGATAGATATTATAGGAGGAACGTTGGCAAACTTAGCAAACTGAGCTGTGTTTATTTTCTTAGTGTCTTTCTTTGTTGTTTAACATAAATAAATGACTCATACATTTACAATAAAACCTCTTCATATAGACAAACTGCCACGTTTACCATATTTTACATGTGCGTTATGCTTTTCAAAGCCTCTCTCTTGTCGTCAAACTTTTCACATTAATTCAGTCTTTTTTTTTAGATACTTTCTTAATCGAATAAGACAGACACGTTGTTTCACATCCTGAGCCTCTGATTAAACTTTGTTCATGTGTTTGTGTGTGTGAGTTATTATTAACAGGTCACACTGCTGCCTCATGGGCTGCACGCAGCGTGCAAACGTCAGATCCGTGCAGCTTCTGACGTCCGCTTCTCGTGGCTGCTACGTCATTACGCTGCCAGCTGATCGGAGTGGGAAGCCGGGTGTGTGTCTGACTTGGGTGTGTGTGTGTGAGAGAGAGGGAGAGAAAGAGAGAGAGGCAGAGAGAGAGAGGACTGGGGCAGGAGTTGTGTAAAAGGGGCTGAAGTCCTGCGCTGCGTCCTCCACTGCTGCTGCGCTGCAAAGAAAAGTAGGCTCACCACCAGCTCCACCACCAGATATATAAATGCTGCCAAACCGTTTTATATCGCGGATGTGAAACAAACAAACAGTCAACGACACGCCCTGCTGAAGGTCCAGGACTCCGCCGGAGCAATGGGCGAGGCAGCCTGAACTCCGCTGGACCGTCCAGATGGGTTGGCCGCGCAGGAGCGACCCGGCCGGTGGTCAAGGTGGGGCGTATTACTGGCTGTGAGGCTGTCTGTGTGTTTCTGCTGGCTAAACGCTTCTTCCTGTCAGCCTGATTTAGCCTGTGGCGGCTTGATGACCCAGTTTGCGTTGAAACTGCAACTGGGAAACCAGTCCTTAACATTATACAAGTAGGTAAAATTCACCTCTCCAGGTCTGATTTCTGCTTTACAGCGGCGGCTTTCTGCACAATTTGGCGTCGTCAGATTGTCGAGGATATAGATTTGATGTTATAGGAGTTCTGGCTGAAGGCCTGTCTGTGTGTCATGAAGATCATATTATACCGTTGAAGGCCCACTGACACAGAGGAGCTGGTATGAATTATGGGCAGCCTAGATATTTGACCACAACCTTCCAGCTCCTGCAAACATTTAATCAACATTTAGATGATTGACACAGTTTTTTAAAGTGCTGCATGGAGTATCTGCTCATGCAGTTATTTTAAGGCTGATAGCAGCTGTAGTGCTGCTTGAAATGTGCTATAAAGTCAGAATTATGCCTACATTAACACAGATTGGAACAGAAAAGCCAGCAGAGGCACGCAGACTGCACGTTATCGGTGCTAAAATATTTCCAGATGTGTTTTTAAATTATATTTAAACCCATTATGTGTAATGGCCACATTTAGGAAATCAGGAAACTTGTACTCAAAGCCTCCAGAGAATTCATTTAGGCATTTGAAAGCACATTACTGTCAAACGTTGGACTTACAGGCTATAGCAAGCGGTGAGGTCTGCATTTATGTAATCCAAACGTGTCAAAAAGTGTCAGCATTCAAAGCTCCTTCAAATTTGCTGAGTTCATAATAGGCCAAGGAAAAAGCCTGTGCTCAAGTAGGGGATAGGTGAAAATCAGGAAGATAACTAGCACCGAGTCATTTCTCAGAAATGCAGTGACACCAGCAGTCATCTGGCAGATCCTTATTCAAATAAAAGATATAAACACTTGTAAATAACTGAAGATGTTTGTAAGGAGCAGTAACACATTCTTTAAGCAGGTGACGTAAGAAAGTATATATAAGGCCTCCGTGTTTCCTCAGCTCATTTCTGTACAATTCTGTATGGTCTTTTACACTTCTATGAAACATTTTAAAAGCAAAGTGCAGTAATGTATGAGTAGTCTTTCTCTAGGATCATGGTTTGGGGGGGGGGGGGGTGCTTGCTGTAGTGAACGTTCCATCGATGGAGCCTGTCTTACATAATTGTACAGCCAGAGTTCAGTGTGCCGGTAGGAATGCGCAATAGGCTGTGTCACGAGCTGCATTTGTGCCATTGCAACCCTGGAGTGTGACATAAGCCGCCCTGTCAATGAGGATCACATGGCAATGACAGGGTGTCAGTTAAAAAGCAGCTCATCTTGACTACATTTGTCGTTTGTCCTGCATCCAGGCAAAATAAGCAGCGCTTGTTTTATTGCCTACATTTGCAGAAGTGAAGCCATCTTGCTCAACTTGGGTTACACCCTTCATTCCTATTGCGTGCCTTGTCAAGGGAGGATGGGGCAAGAAGGGATGTGTTATGTAGGTTCATTTAGAGAAAAAAAAAATCCAGTTCTTTCAAACAAAATGGCACAGACTGCCTGAGGACAGGCTTACAGGCCTCATACCGCACATTACCATCTCCCTGGATGTCATGAAATCAGAATGGCATTCAGCTATTTCTCTGAGCAAGTAAAACACACCCTTCATTTGTACTGATCTCAGGGTTAAAGTCAGATAGCCTTTATAGTCATGCAAACAGCTTGCAGCAGAGCATAAGAAGAGGCTCTCTGCACTATGATCAGCGTGTTGCCAAAGCCACCGCCCTTTCCCTGTCTTTGTCCCCATTCCCAGTCTAAAATGATCAGTCTATATTGCAGACTGCAATCTGGGGCAGTAAACTCTCTCCAACTGGGCCCCACCCACAGCAGAGGAATGCACCTGGAGTGATATGTAATAAAACATTTAATTATTGCGTGTTACCATTCACAGAGGTGTAGCAGCAGTATGCATATCTGTGACGCTGTCATTTCATGCTGCAGTTCTTCACATATTTCCTTGGTCTGCGTCAATGCTCAGTCAAACAGATAACTGAGGTATCTTATCTCGTCACCTCATGTGGGATTCTCAGACAAAATCATGACCCTAAACATAAAAAGGTCAAATGAGTGGGCTTGTGTGGAGAGAGGTCCGACCCACGCTCCATCATAACGCCCTTTTTTGTTTCCTGCAGCTTTTACTTGTTAGCATCTTATCCTTTTTTTTATTATTGATCTTTGTCCGTAACATTCAAGCTCTCTGGATGAATAAATCCGCTCTTGTACTTGCAGCTAGAGCTCAATAACGTGAATAATTCCTCCTTGCATTGTATATGGTTCATTCACACCCTCCTGTTTGCACACCGTCATACCTCTTTCTCTCTGACACGCACATCCTGCCTACTCCGCTCCAGTGTGTCTTTCCTCTTTCTTATCCACCCTGTTGTGGCAGAGAATGCACGTCCCAGATAAGCTCAGTCTTTTGTGTATTAGACTGTGTGTTATCTCTTTTTACACTGTCTCTCTTTTGCCCCTTGTATAAAAGCCTGTCTCAAGGCCTTCCACACTGGCTGTCATGTGGCTCTGTCTGACTCCCTCGCTCGGATAAAGCCAGAGACAGAAAGAGAAGGAGAGGGGGAGGTAGACAAAAAAAAGGCAGGCAAAGGGAAGGTGAGGGTGAACCTGACAGTGAAACCACGTCCGCCTCGTCCTGTGCAGACCAGATGTAGATAGAGAGGAGACGGGTGAAGGATAGAGGGATGGAAAAGGAGGAGTGGAAGAGACTGTGCGAGCCCACAGCAGCCGGATGGAATTTCTAACATACGCAGCTGGAATGTGAGGAATGCAGGACAGTCTGATCTGACCGAGAGAGAGACAGAGAGGGTGGAGAGGACAGACAAGTCAGGAAAGACTCAAAAAGAAGAAGAGTTATGGGAAAGGGTGGCACAGCAACAGAGTCGGGGGCTCAACACTGCCCGTCATTGTGAACATAAAGATACAGAGTCACTGTTTATGGAGGGAATGGCACGCTATGGAACAAATATCTTATTCAGGTTCAGTTTGAGGTTGTGGCAGCCATGGTCGACAGTTATGGCTGTCAGCGGTCCTGTGTGTGGCCCGAGGACTTGTACTGTACGTCCTCCTCCCTGACTTCATTCACACCAACACTGGCAGGAGTGCGGCATGTGTGGGGGAGGAGGGCGGTGTTCACTTCATGATGCTGACGTGCTGAATGATGGCCTTCTTTTGCTAAAGATCCACTTTTTAGCCTACATTTCAAATTTTATTTTATCAGTCATGCTAGCTGCGTGTCTCTAGGCAAGGGAGGGATGGTCCACCATGTTGTTCCAATATCTCAGTTACTGTTGGATGGAGTGCCATGAAATCTGGTACAGATATCCACGACCCCAGGATGAATTGTAATAACTCTGATGATCTCGTAACTTTTCATCCAGCGCTTCATCAAGTCAAGATTTGTCCTACACTCTGGTTTAAGACCAAATAACTACAAAACTAATGGTATCCCATCGGCCTCAGCTACACTTTGTGTTTAGTGTGTTAGCATGCCAACACACAACATGGCGAACATATAACCTGCTAAACATCAGCATGTTAGCATCGTCACTGTGCATGTTCGCATTAGCTCATAGCATCGTGGTGCCAGCATGGCTGTTGTCTCTTAACACCAAAAACACACCAAGCCGTAGCGAAGTGTGGCCTGCAGCAAGCTGCCATACAGTGTCTACAGAAAGCTACAGCGGCTACTCCGAGCTGTGACCGTTTGATGCTGCGGTGAAGTGCGGCCAAACTAAAAATTGGTAGCAGTTTAACTCTTAGTGGCTACTTGCGGCTTGAGAATATCCGCAGCCAATCAGTAATCTGTGACTCCTGTGACATGAACACATGAACACACCTTCCAGCCACAGAAAGGTGTAATTATTGCATTGAGCCACACTTTGCAGCTGCCTGGTGTGTTTTCAGTGTAAGGCTGCATTCTCTCAATATCCGACCAGCAGCAGAAACGGTACTTCTCCCAATCATTTAAATGTGGGTAGTGCGTCAATGCTGCGGTGCTGGGAGCCCAGGGGGACTGAAAGATGCAGCAGCCTGCAGCGAAAAGTTGAGACAGATTGACGTTTTGGAGGAATGTAACCTGATGTCACGCTTGGTGGCCAATCACATAACCGGCGTTCAGACAGCAGGATGTTCACAGTCCACGGGAGCAAGTAACACTTTTTGTGGTTAAATATTATAGTGCTCCAAAGAAATAAACTATGTGTCCCACAAAGTAGAGCACTTGCTTTGTGTGCACGTGTGTCTTGAAATGATATAAATGATAATCAAAAGGAATTCTACAGATCTTTAAATCCAACATAAACAAATTCACCAAAGACTCAGCTTAGATGGGGAAACTGGCTTTCTCTCAAACCTCCACTCCCTCACAAAAGAGCCATTTAAGTGACACTCCCATAATGCCGCAAAACTCTGCAGCTGATTGCCGCACTGCCAGACTTGGTGTGAATTCAGCCTATTCTCTTTAACCTGGGGACCTTCAGTAATTTGTAATAACTGCAGAGGTCATCTGTGATCTTAATCCCAAGCAAATCTGCCAAGTAAAAATTCCACTACAAATACTCTACCATATTTTTACAAACACAGGTCACGTGGTTATATTAGTCCGGTGCAAATCGACATCTCAGTGATTTTGGGGTCGTATTATTATTGTTACGCAGAGCTTTGTCATCATATCCAGGAGATGATGTCAATAAATTTGAAAAATATAGGCTTTGCTAACCTGGTGCGAATGTGCCATATGAAAAACAGACGCGGGGAGGTAATTTCTAAATACCATTAGGTCCTTTGGTAACACTAGTTTCTTGCATATCGAGCTTTAGACATGTTCACAGATGGCCGACAGCAGTACTGCAACAATTAAAAATCCTCAATGTTCCTGATGGACGACATTATAAAGGATATGTCTTTAAAACTGATGACCAGACACCTTGAGTGGCACCAAATTCATTTGTTAGTGTTATGAATTTTAATGTTTGTGAAACTTTTTAAGAGTCGAGGAAAGCCATTTTCATGTGCATGCATGCATCTTGGAACGAGACAGTAAGACACATGTGCAGTGCAGCCACAAAAAGTGGAAGCAAACCGGGAGGAAACTTTTTTGTGGTACGCATGACGTAAGCAACAGCTCAAAGTGGCTCACAGCGCGCGACACCAGCCAAGTTTAAATGCCAATGCATGTTACCTTTCAAATAAACAAAATAATAAGTGTGGGGTGTGGAGATTTGTAGCTGACGACAGAGCAAGCTGGTTTAGTTCTGCTTGGAAAAGCCACCACTGCAATCCAGTGATCAGTTATACGACTCACTAATTAAAACCTCTCAACGCTTGAGTTTAGAAGATTTACGAGCCTGTGATTTGATTGGGACATGACTTTAATTCTGACGCAGCACTGACAGATTTCTTTTAGTGGTTTTAAAAAAGATAAGTGTAGTAGATTTGACTGTGGATACTTTTTTCAGTGTACACCCGTCACAAGTTAGAACAGGCCTCTGTGTGCTGACTCATCAACACTGACATTTGTCATGTAGATAAATTTGCCAGGAGGTGGAGGATAATCGTATTGGTGTTTTTCCTTGTATAACCTGTTTATATTTCATATTGATCACAGTTATATGTCTGAATAGAAATGACTCTCTGGACTTCTCAGAACGATTCTGAAGTAAAATCCAAACCAAGTGTGAGACAAAATGATTTCTCCCCGCAGCAGTGTCTGTGAAATGTTCATAAGTCTTATTGACCCCCCTGCTGTGCTCAGTCTACAGGCCGCAGGACACTCAAATACCTGAGATTATTCTGGTTCTCCTTACTGCAGGAATGTACAGCATGTGTTACTCATCGTCAGCCACAGAAGTGGAGCATGTCTTCAATATCTGGAGATCACCACAAGATTACATTCTTTGAAGACAAGAAAAGCACAGACCTGTTTTAGCTTAACGTGTGGTCAGTCTGCAGTAACCTCACTGTGCACGTTTTATTTGTTTTACATGCAGTTAACAGTAAACTGTTTATTTTCCTACATCAGCTACGCACAATATTCACACCTTAAGGTCTGGTTTGGCAAGCTAAGTGTTGGAGTGTAAGTCAGGTAAGCATTGTGTTTTTCCACAAACAGTATGATCAACAGTCAAACAGGAAATAGAGAGAAAAATGAAAAAAGAAAAACAAACGTCAAATTGTTAGATTTTTTAACACTTTTTATAATTACATAAAATTTATGTAAAACTACAGAAAATATCTCTAATTTAGCCACTGATGGTTTATTTCTGTGATGGAAAATAACAGGATTATTTGCTCATTTTATGGTAAATCACATTAATTCTACACGTGTACTTTAGTATTGAAGTTCTTGGAGCAGGTGGCGGCGACGCTATGTAAAAAGTAAATTACTGCAAAAAAACATTTTTGTGTTTACAATGCTAACATGCTGACATGTAGCAGGTTTACAGTGTTCCCCATCTTAGTTTAGCATGTTAGCATACTATCTGATAATAAATACAGCACAAAGTTCAGTTGGTGGGATTGTCATTCGTTTGACAGGTGTAATAAACTTGCTTTAGTTTAGACACAATCAAAGAGATGCATTGCTGATTTTCATCCAGCTTTGTGTCATAACAATGTGGGTTACATGTCTAAATGAACTGTGGTAAACTTCCTTCGATTTTACCACCACCCACATCTCTCTGCTCAAGTCTAAGCTCAAATCTAGAGAGTTTCACTGGCCATAGGGCACAGGTGTATATTAACCAGATACTAAATCCCAAAATGGTGCCTATTCAGTCTAATGTGTGCGTGATGCATATGCAAAAAACAAACAAACAAACAAAAATCTAGCTTCCTGGTTCACTTCAGCAGTATGAGGCACACTTCATATGCGCAGTAGTGCTTCTCCAACTGCTAATGATGTCAGGGATGTTTAAATCGCTTTTCTCATCTTGAGGAAAGTTTTATAAAAATAAAACCTCCATGGATGAAAAATTCATAATAAAAAGAGTCATAAATGACCTTGTTTGCAGTTTGAGATGTCCTGTCACCAGTTTTAAAGAGGTCATTTTTATAAAGATAGTCTATAGAGAAATGGTTTTTTGGGCCGCAGGGGATTTTTTGCTGCAAAGTGATTGGCCACTGGGAAAAATTGGAAGCAAGGCTGAGCAGTGTTCCTGAGGGCCCTGCTTTTGGGCTGTTGCGTGAACTACAGATTGTACATCTGCATGTATGTCTGCCACCACAGACACAGAAAGTATAGAAGCTGATGGAGAGAGAGCTCAGCTGCACCTCTCTCTGTTTCAAACTCAGACTGAACTCCAATCAAACAGTCTTAACAGTTTCTGACTGTGTAGCCTGTTTCTGGCCTCAGATGTTTTCAGAAACATATTTTAGCTAACTTGCCGGCTGCCATATTGTTTCCTATGTCAAAACGGCCAAGCTTGCATGATGTCACCCACCAGCAGGAGTGTTTATTGGTGTGGTGCAGTGCATTCTGGTAGTTGGAGATTTTCTACCTCTTTAGCAAAAGCCAGGGAAATTTTGTCCAAACATTTTCATGGACAAAATTTCAAAAAAAATTCCATGACTTAAATAAAATTTTCATTTCAGATCTGCACTTCACTGTGTCTGCTGCACTTGCTGGTCTAGCTATGGTACTTTACCCCCCCACACACACACACACACACACACACACACACACACACACACACACATGCGGGAGAGTTTTGCTTCCCTTAACAAAAAAAGGCTTGGCCATATAAGTCATGGAAAATGAGAACCATGCAAGTTTTCCGTTTGTGTCAAGCATCAGATATGTTGTTTGAGTCAACTGGCATTACTTGACATTGCACGTCATTTGATGTGACTGTTGTGCATCACAATGTCAATGCTGAAACGATATATCGTGCAGTAATTGGCACATGTTAGAGCTACATTACGTCAATGGCTAACTTACAGAAAATAAATTTGCCATTACATTACATGGAAGGTTAACCCTGGAAGATTACTGTAACAATTAATGTCATTACAAATGACATAATTCCATGTGTTTTCCAAAACTTTCAATGATTTTGTCTAAATCCATAACTTTTCCAGGCCTGAAAAATAACATGGTGAAATTCCATGACTTTTCCAGGTTTTCCATGACCATAGGAAGCCTGAAAAGCAAATGCCACGGCCATTTTTCTCTGTTTTCTGTGTATTTTCAAAAGTATTTGCACCTCTCTAACAGGCAGCCTAGTTTTAAGAAAATACATTCTTTCCATTAGTAAAATACTCTAACCATATACATATTTAATTATCTTTTCTCTGTAACCATGTCAGTAGCCTTCAGTTGGAGAATTCTGCCTGCCTATAACAGAACAACTGAACTCATCTGAACAGTATCTACATGTAAACTTGCAACTTAGTCAGACTTATACAAAGTGTGTTTTGAAACACTTACAAGCTTCAACATGTAGAAAACATAGATCGGGTGTAGCTACAGGTTTTCTCTCTGGGAAACACCCCAAACATTCACTTTATTAACTAAGACTTCAAAAACAAGTTGTACTTTTGATTTCTGATTGGATTCCATGATCTCTGCTTTCATGTAGAGGCTGTCTACTCCTCTTCATTGCCTCTCGCTCATGCTTTGTAACCACGGTAACTGACATAAAAAAAAAGAAAGAAAAAGGAGGCCGGTTTGTGATTTTGAGCATCATAACTAAAGAGAATATCTAAGAATTTCTCGCTGGCACTGTCTAATGTGCAGAGGCAGAGCCGAGCAGCTGATGCGTGTACCCCTCCTGGTAATCTGACGCATGATCTTGTGTGCATCTCCCCAGTCATTCGTACATATCAGCTCATTTCACCCACTTACTCACAGCTGATTGCACACTCAGTGGCTCGACTGCACCCACTTACTGTACGTGTGTGACTGGCTTCAGGCCACCTCATACCCACGCTACCGGAGCAGGGAGTTTAGAGGGGAAGTTAAAACGATCTTTTCTTCTCTTTCTGCAGGAACATGTGCACCTAAAGCAGACGAAGGAAGGAGTCACTATTTGTGCCTTTAAAGCGGGCCGTCCGTCACTCCAGGCTGTCTAGTTTGTACTCTCACGCTCTCTGGCTGACTCCCAGCAGTCCCTCACCCTTGGCCCCAAATGGCTGACACACAGCAGTTCTTCACTGGCAAGCTTTATGTTCCTGTACACATGCTAAAGCTGCCAGCTGAAGAACTGCTCTGGTCAGCCCTGCCCCGGATGACTCAAGAAGAGGAAGCGGACGAGGGTTGCTGGGAAGAGGACTAAGGAAGGCGGTGTTTCACACGCTCAGCAGTCAGGCTGGACTTTAATAAACCGGACAGATTTGAGCCCCCATTGTTTATGTTCCTGTGTTAATCACATGTAAGCTTTATTTCACTTCAGTCAATACAGAATGTTTATTTTGTGGTCCACAATAACCTGCTTATAGTTTGTCTATGATGTGCTTTTCGCTCACATTAAAGAACAAAATATTTTCTCAGACTGCTGCGTTATTGTTGTGGACAAAACTGGACACTGTGGACAATAAAAGACATTCCAGCACCGAAGGCTCTCCTGTCCAAAAATAACAACACGCACACAAAGAGGCACACAATAGATGTATGCAAAAATGTATCACACTCATCCCTTTTAACTTTCAAGTCCCTGGTGATCCCATTAAAGGGGAGCGAGAAAGATCAGAGTAAATTGAGATGCTCTTTAAATGTAAAACTGTCCTCAGATATGCAATAACTCCTGAGAGTGGTGTTTGTTCTCACATTAACGAGTCAACAAGATGACATTTAGTCAGGAGAACTGCGTGAATCCAGTTAGATCGTTAAGATGTGAATCCAGAGGGTGAAAAAATAACACCCAGTGTCTGCTCCAAGGATTCCTTCATGGACTACAAACTTTTAGAGACTGAGGAGAGGGTAAGATAACCCACTGTATGTAAAATAATCTGTATAATAAAATAATACACACTGCAGTGCTTGTTATGTTATAATCTTGTAAGTAGGTTAAACTCTTACTTTATTACTGTATGCTGCATTAGTTTAATAAAGGAAACTTTTTTATTCTGTGTTGTCAGTCAGTTTATAAAACAGCCAAATGAACATGTTTTCTCAAGATAAATGCTAAGTGCATTCAGCATCGTTCTTTACAGATGTGATTGAGCTTTGTTGGTTTGAACTGCCAAGAAAAAACACATCAAACTGGATAAATAATAGAATCAATATTCTGTTAACACAGATTATTAGAACATTACAAGGACAGATATGGAAGTACATAGGAAATATAAGCATTTGAATTTTAACAGCCACTGAGTAATTGTAGAAATATAAACACCACTAAATTAATATCATTGTTTTTTTTTTCTTTGAAGACCAAGTGTTATTTTTTTTTTATTTTATTTTATTTTATTATTTCTGAATCCACCCTTGTGAAATAAATACATAAATAAATAAAATTCTTGATTTGCAATTTGAGATGCTAGATTTGAATATATTTTTCCAATGTTCACAAATCCAGCGCCAAAACATTAAAGTTTCAGAAGTATAGAAAACAAGAACAACAACAACAACAACAACAACACAATAATTCAGGTCATGATCAGAAAAATCTTATAGAAAATAGCAACATCTGGCCACACAACATAGGAAGTGCAGGTTTTTTTTTTTGGTTTTTTTTAAAAAAATAAAAAAAAATAAATCAAATTCAGCTTTTAAAACTGCAAATCAAGAGGTGAATTCAGAACAACTAAATTCAGATACATGGTTTTTAAAGTAAAATATTTCAATGCTGTGAATTTAATGGCGTTCAAATTTTAATAGAAAGTATTTAGTGGTTGTTAAAATTCAAATGCTTATGTCTTGTACTTGCTTCCACATATATCTATAATTTAGGGAAAATAATCTTAAACTTGAGTGTCTGTACTCTTTAACCTTTAACTTACATCGTCAGGGTCTTGATGCAGTTTCCTCAAAGTCGCCGCTAGATGGCGGTATAATCTCTGCAAAGCTAATGTTGACACACGGCTGGGGGCGCTATAGAGCCTTGTTATAGTCAGACTGGATTATTGCTGATGTGGATGAAAACTGTACAAAACTTGTGATGAGTTCTCAGTTGATTGGAGTTGAATCATTATTAATGCATAGTTCCCTTATCCATTATAATAAAACTGTACACAGGATATGAAGTGTTACTTTTTATAAGTAGGAAAAACTGGTTATTTAATTAACAGGCAGGTCCAGTGCATTACAATTAGTACAGTTTTATTTGCTGGAGCCACTTTTAACGACTTCATACACCACTGGGTTGTTAATCGACCATAATGCATCTGATTCTCCAGTGGTGGGGTGTAATTATTACAGTGCAAATTTGAGGCACTTTACTTTATTATTTCCCTTTATTGGCACTTTATATTCCCGCTCCATTATAGTTAAGAGAGAAATATCGTAGTTTTACTACACTAAATGCAATTAGTTGCTTTACAGATAAATATTTCACAAAACATGAGTACCTACAGTATAATGTGCTGTTATAGATTACACTACCCATCTATAGGCTATATAATGATAAAACTTAACCCCACCTTTACCAGCTACAGCACTCACAGGCGTCACTGTTCTTTTGCATTATCAGCACTTTTACTTTTGAAAAGTACATTTTGAGTATTTTCGTATTGCAGTAGTGCTACTGCCACACCAGAAGGACATCTGAATACTTCACCACTAATATTTTCTAAACTGATGTTGTCTTGTGTGTAAAATCTTGATCTGCTATCACTAAAGAAAGCTGACAAATACATTTAGTGTGTTAAATATAGGTAGGATAAAACAGAAATATATACATAAATTAGCCAACAAGTAAATATGTAGTTTAACCAGTTATTTGTGACTTTAAATAAGCTGAAAAAAAAAAAAGATTTAAGGGAAGAGAAAGTTTCATGGTGTAAATTTAAAGTCTGAGTACCTGAGACAGACTGAGGTTCGTGTTAAAAATGGCAGAATATGACTTTACAGGAGGACCTGAGTCAGCAGGGCGTGCATACTTTGAGAGGCTTGTGGTTCACAGGGTCCACCTTACTCCCTTACCATCTTTCTCTGTCTCCCTCCCTTATACACTCTGTGCGGTGTCCTACATGCTGATCCAGCTGATGCCCCCGCGCGTAAATGGAAAGCTTTTACGCACCGTTCGCGTTCACTTCAAAAGAGGTTTAATTGTTGTTTTTGCATTGTCACACGCCTCGACGGGTGCATAAGTAGGCCTAAGACACTGGGGATGTGCTGTGGAGATGTAAGGGATGCGGTAATACCTCACTACATAATAGAGAGGGTGGGGTGGGGGTGGGGGGTAAAAGGCAAGGCGTGCGTCCGGACGCTCACCGCCAACTAAACGCGAGAGGGACTCGGACATCAATAACATCTCGCTCATCAATAAGGCATTTTGATGGAGTTAGCCTGCTTAATTAAATAGGTTGCCTTGAAGGTATTAGGCTCTCTGAATTTATAATATTTAATCTAATGACCCCCCATGGAGAACATCTGAAGGACGACTCTTCAGCATCTCCATCCACAGGAAAGCGGCTCGCTCACACAGATTTTAAGAATTGGAGGTTTCTTATCTCTCAATGATGGCTATCAACACTGATGCTGCCTTTGGGAAAAGCGCCCTCGGCGAGAGGGAAGTTTCCAATCCCACCGACTTCCAGGACACTGAGAAGCTTCTGAGCACCGCGACCACCGAGCCCACCGGGCAGAGCAACATCAAACCGTCCGACTCCTTCTCCCTCAACATCAGAGGGAGCGTCCGGTCCCTGGATGCGGACCAGAACGGACACAGATTGCCGCTTAAGTCGGGCTCCATCGGGCAGTTGGCGACTCCACCCAAATCCTTGTCCCGTCTCAGCCTGGGGCCGCTGCCCTCCCCGGTGCCGCCCGGGTCCGTACCCCCGAGTTACCTCTGGCTCGCCGTGATGTCCTGTTTCTGCCCCGCCGTGCCGCTCAACATATGCGCCTTGTGGTATGCACATGTGGTGAGTGTTGCATTCATTTACAGCTTTAATTTCCTTCATAGTAACACATTGTGGATTATTATTATTATCTCTATGTGCTCCTGATGCTTGGGTATACTCTAAAGACAGTTGTAAGCTTTTAAACACTACAGGTGTTTTGCTCAAGCTACCTTTAAATAATTCATAGCTGATCATCTCCTTCCTTTTCCTTTCCCATTAGTCGAGGTCTGTTCTCCATACAGGAGATATTGAAGGAGCAAGAAAGTATGGGCGTCTGTCTATGGTGCTCAGCTGTCTGGCGATGCTGCTGGGTGTGGCTGTCATCATCTTCATAGTATTGACAATAGGTATGTAAGAAAGAGACACAACAAACACACTCCAAAGTGCAAAGCTGTGATTCTTAATTTCTCTTTTTCTCTGCTTCTCAGAGATGCAGAATTGAACTGTGGGATGGAAGGAGTGTCCTTTGACTTCATCTGAAATTTGCACAGAGGAGAGAAGGAGGAGGAGGAGGAGGATGAATGTCGTTTTGAAGATGAAAAAGCACAAAATCTTAGTTGGAAACAAGCTGAAGAGACTCTAAGAAGTTGCGGGCCGTTTCTCTTTGTCTGGCAACACTCATGGCCAATAACCCCACAAACTCAGGAACAAGAGGAAGGAAAAAAGAAGGCTGCACACAGTTGCAGAGTCGGATCATCAGAAAGTTAAACTACTCATAGTCCAAACTAGTGTTGCACTGAGGTACACGCCTGCCTGACACAGACAATTGGATGGCACTGCTTATTAAAAAATGGCATCAATAGATAAGAAGATGTCCTAAAGACTAAAGAACACACATGATTTGTACGTGATGTTGTGATAAATAAAAACAGCCTCATGTAGTCAGACAAAAACAGAAGGACTCAGTGCATCTCTAGTCTGTAATGCCGCCACTGCCTGCCCTGTTTCTCTTAACATTTGCAACAAAGTTCTGATTGACTGTGGGAGGATGTATATACTGATTTCATACACTGTTTACATCAAGTTTAAAACTCATGTACATTTATCACAACAACGTCCTGCTGCAGTCATAGTGTGATACCTTGCTTTGTGTGCTATTATGATAAACTGACTCCTGTTCGGACTCCACTGAACTGCCTGGATCTCTGCACCTCATTACGTTTACAATATACTGCAAGATATGAATGGGGTTGTTTTTCCCTGTATGCACTGTTCTTGGCACTCTGATGTTGATGTTTATACATTTATACTGTATGACTGGTTTACTGTGCCATAGCTCTGCATGTTGGAAATAAACTTGAATGAGCATGACGAACCTGAATGTGAGCTCATCACCTTTATTTTATGAGGCGCCGCCAGTACTGTATAAAGAAGTTTGACATCAAGAGTACACAGTCCCAGTAAAATATGACTTCATTCATTTATAAAGGGCTAAAATTACAACAGGATATAAGCAGCAATATATAAATCCCACAATGGAAATGTTATTATAATTCAGAAAATAAATAAGCTCTCCAATCTGACAGATGAGACAATTTCAATTAAGACTTTGTTTTTAATGAGATATATTTTTCTTTTCAAAATAAAATCCTTTCTTAAGGAGAGTAAATTACAATATGAAAACTTTTTTAAAAAGTCTTGAGATACAATGAATATTTCTTTGTGTTCTGAACAAAAGTGAGAGTCCATCAGTCGACAGGCGAATCAGTGGAAAGTGTAGAGCAACAGGAGTATGGTGCAGATGCCGATCACCCCGCCTAGGATTAAAGAGTCCCGCCTCTTGCGCAAATTGATTTTCTGGATGAGGCTGTTGATGGTGGGGAAACGATCTGAGGGGCAGGGGGAGTGTGGTGAAGGAAAATAATTAAGATCAAGTCAGCCTTCCCTTCCTCGCAGTGAGTAAGAGACAGAAAGCAGCAGGGAAAATACATCAGCAGAGCTCCTCACAAACCAGGAAGAGGAATAAATGGAGCTTAATGGTGTAAATCTGCTGCAGTCGGTCATTATCAGCTTCAGAGAAGAAACAAAGTAAAGACGGTAAAGAGAAAAGGAGGACAAATTATTAAAATGATTAAAGGATACTAGCCAAAGTTGTGACCCTGGTTTGAATGGACTTCAACATCCCACGCTGAAATGTGATGTTCTCTTTGGTAGCCATGGCGATACTGGAGGGAAGAAGAAACCAGGAGGGATTAGTTGGTGGGAAAAGAGGCACATATATGTCTTCACAGCGTAACCATTAAAGGCATAGTAAAGAGGTAGGGATAGGATGAAGTGGGGTTGTAGGATGAACTTACCCATAGTCAGTGTATTACCCACAATAGATGCCAGTTGGTGTGTCCCCAGTTTGGAGTAGGTGTCCACTGCCTACACGGAAGCTAAGCAGTGTACTACTGTGGACGGGGCCAGCAGCAAAACATAAGAGTAGCTGAGATCATTTACAGTGCTTTACCTATCTGTCAGACAGCACGCTCCGATTCTCTCGTAAAAGCCACCTGACTCCATTGACAAAAACAGTAATTGTGGCTCACTGAACACAGGAGCTGCTGGTCAACCACTGCCTCAAACTCCTAGTAAGTCTGTGTTATTGTGTAACTTTGGTGAATCAGAACTAACAGCAGCAGTAGACCAGCTGCTCTGGTGGTCAGTGATGGAGTTAAATCACTGTTTTTCTCAATGGAGTCTGGCGTTGAGAGGAGCGATTTAACAGCTTCAGTTCCCTGTCACAAAGGGCTGTCTGGCAGTCAGGTAAAGCAGTGAAAAAAAATCTATATATAGCACACACTTGAACTGATATTGACTTTTTTAGGTGGGCTTTTTAAGGTGGCTAAAATATGTTTTCTTGCTGACCCCTTCACAACAGTTCATTGCTCAGCTTCTGTGTCGGGCAGCCTGCTTCTCCTCACTGGGGGCATTCTGACCGACATCTACTCTAGGTAATACACTCACCATGGACAAGTCCCTTATACAGCCCTACTTCAAAAAATATGAACTATTCCTTTAAGTGTAATGTTTCAGCTAAGGAGCTATCAGCAGCGAGGCATGATGGCCTGTTTTAATAGACCTGAATGTGCAGTTTGCTTATGATGTGTGTGTGTGTGTGTGTGTGTGTCTGAGTTGAGTGAGTGGGAGTAAAAGGAGAGAGGAGAGTGAACAAGGCAATAAAGCTTACCTTATTGCATTGTCGATAAGACTATCTGAGCTGTGAACAAGAAGCGGAAAAAAGGAGAGAAAAAATGAAACGTCAGGTGAGTCTTAAACAAAGATGTTCACAACTTAAAATCATTTAAAAAATGTACTTAATGTCATTTTTTTCTTTGCTGCCCATCATTCATCACTTTTAACATACAACCTTTTGATATAATTTAAACATATAGATATATTTCCTGGTTTAAGAGTCAAGAAATTACAGAACAGGACACTGGGAAAGCCCGCACCATAACACCACCCAGCTCTTTGAGTCTATTATCATAAAAGGAGCACTTCCTGTGATTCCTGCGAGACAGGAGAAAAGTGCTGGTTAATGGAGGATTTTTGAGAAAGTCAGAACCTGATTGGTCAAATCAAACCTCCATCGTAGCAGAATCCAATTAATCTCTATAATATAACTTCTCCTAACACATAGATTTCGGGATGGTAATGTGAACCCTGTGTTATTTGTTTTAGGTGCATATAAGCAGAATGAACACACAGATGGACGGCACTGAGAACACAAAGGCGGTTTACATCGGCTGCCATTAGCTGCTGAGATAAGTGACGGACAGAAAAATGAAGTGTTCGGTCTAAAGCTGAGCAGAGCATATAAGGTCAGCAGCATGCATCCTGGCCGACTCCACTGGAGACCAAAAATCAATACTGTGCTTTATACTTCCTCCTCATCTATTCGTCCACCTCTCCCACTATCTATCTACTGCTGCGCTCTGCTTTTTCTCTCTGTTCTTTACAGGCGAGGCAGCGTCTTGCTTTTGTATATGTTCCTTTTATTTATTTCTTTACTTAGCACAGGGTTCCTACAGCTTGAGGCAAGCTAGATTTAAGACTTTTGAGTTTTTTAATGCCACTTGGAATGACATTTAAGACCAATTTTTAAATAACCAAAATTAAAGTGTTGTTGTGTTTCTCACTCTGCATGTGGAATTCCACTGCCTCGATTCCCATTGTGCCAATTCTGAAAAACTTTTTGCATAAAATGTACCAAGACTTGTCAACATTGCCTTGCACTGGTTTCAGCCATGCCACAAACTCTTGATTAAATAGCCAGTTTTCACTGAATTTGCACATCCCCATGTCTTCCAGGGTACAGTGAAGGGTAGCTAGCAGACTCTGCTCTAAGCATCCCAGCCAGAAACAAAATGCGAATGCTATTGGTACTGCTATCTTGATCTGCATGACATTAATGTGAGAGATTCTGTAAATTATTGAAGAAAAATGGATGTAACCAATTATTTTGAGATCTTACGCAACATCAGAAAATTAGACTGAAGACTAATAGAAACCACCACTTTGCAGTTGTATGCCTCCACAAACCAGTCAAGCTGACATCCACATCGATCCAGACTCCATGTAACCATGACAGCTGTCGATGCTACAATTATGGATGTTGCTGCAAAGACGTTACATATTCTAAAACATGGCTGCTTCACACACATCTTAAATTCAAGGTGGACACTCAAGATTAGTGTCACCAACTCAGTTATGACATTGAGTAATAGCCAGTAAAGTGTTTTGCAGAACGTTATGACGTCACATTGAAGTTGACCTTTGACCTTTTGGATACAAAATGTCATCACTTCATCATTTTGTCCTTCTAGACATTTTTGTCACAATAAGTCGCATGAATTCTTGAGTCATAGGCTAAAACATGCTTTGTGAGGTCACAGTGACCTTTGACCACTGAAATCTAATCGTTCATCATAATGTCCAAGTGGACGTTTGTGCCACAGTTGAAGAAATTGCCTCGAGGTGTTCTTGAGATATCGCGTTCATGAGAATGGGACAGAAGGACGGACCACCTGAAAACATAATGCCTCTGGCCACAGCTGTCTCTGGTGGCGAGGCATAAAAATGATTCAGGAAATCTTTAATTTTTAAGACTTTAGAAAGATAAGTTTAAGACATTTTAATATCAATCAAAGCCTTATTTTCAGATTCATTAATTTTGAGACTTCTTAAAGATCCGTGGGAACCCTGATCAGTTACTACCTTTCTATTTGAAACTCCTTTCCTACTTTTATAACTAATGACCAGTTTGTGAATGGGGTTTGTATGAGGCTCAGTGGTGACACTTTTGCAACAGTTCAAATGTCAGAGCTTTAAAAGTCAATTGAAAATACATTTCATGTACTACAGATGTCTACCTAGTATGATATGAGGCTGGATTGAGGGCAAACATTTCTACATGTTTGTCTTAGTGGTTGCTTTTTTTCCCCCCATAACTGTAAAGCTAAGTGTAAAGCTTCACATGTAAAACTCTACAAAATGAGCATTTATAATGAATCAACAAAACAAAGCCCAGACCATAGAAAAATGTCTGACTCTAAGTTACTCTCTACATCCAGCATTGTCCTCAAACTGATGGTACTTGATTACACTGATTGATTACTTGCATTTTTGTGCATCCTTCAGTTTAAAAACTTTAAAATACAGTGACTGAGTCAGAGACACAATGGCCAGAATTTTATCACATGAATGGTTAAAAGTTGAGTGGTACTAAAAATTTTAAACATGTTTCCTCGGACAGCATTTACATTTTGTGGCGGCCAGACAATGTGCCACAGAAGGATCCATTTAAGGGAAACATTTTGGTTTGTTGTGGCTGAGAGGCTGAACAACAGTTATGGTTAATTACAATTAGTCATGGGGCTAAGGGTTCACTGGGAAACACACCAGGACTGACTGCCACTACACAAATACCACAAATGTATCCAATATCTGTTTTGTTCTGGGGACAATTTAACGCAGCTTTTGGAGATGATCACATCAGAATTGAGGTTTGATATAAACAAATCATCACTAAACAAAGATTATGCTGTTTAGAATTTGTAAATAAACACTCATGTACAAGTGAGGACAGATGGCACTGATATAGAGAGAGTATATGAAAATAAATTTCTAGGTAATGAACCACAAAATCTGCTGGAAACCTCATATAAAACATGCAAGCTTGTTTTTATTTCCTCTTAATATTTTTATTGTACGCTTTATATTTGCACCAAAAACCAAAGCAAATTCCTTGTAAGTGAAAACCTATTTGGCAATAAATCTTATTCTGATTCCGCATCACAAAGCGCTGTACCTTCTTTATTGTTCACTTGTATTGCTGTATCTAAGTTACTGCGTGGAGCTATGGGGCAACACTTACAAAAACTCCCTACATCCATAATACATACCGCAAAAAAGGGCCATAAGGATAGTTAATAATGTAGGATTTTGTGAACACACTTACACTCTGTTCTAAAAGTCAAATGCCTCTACATTTATGGGTCAGACAGCACATATGTATTATGCATAAAGCAAGAACTGATTTACTACCAGGTAATATACAAAAAACATCTCTTTGTCAGGGAGGGTGGTTATGATTTGAAAGTCATTTAAAAAAAAAAACAGTTCAGACAACTATGAAGTGTGTGTGTGTGTGTGTGTGTGTGTGTGTGTGTGTGTGTGTGTGTATGTGTGTGTTTCAATGTGTGGGGTGAAACTGTTAAATGATCTGGATGTGGAACTCAAGCAGACACAGGAATAGATAAGTGTGTACTTCCTCCTACTCCTTTCAATCATGTAAGATTAAATTTAAGTTGTAAATGAGAATCTATTCATTCAGTTTGTTGTATAGGTTTATCATTAATTTCATTTATCATTTTGTTTTGATTTTTGGTTCACATGTCCGACATAAAATTTATCAATCAATGTAGCCATACAAATAATTCCACAATTTAGTACACTAAATAATTGTGTCATAAATTCCTTAATTTTAAACAGAAATGGTGAGTCAGGCCACCGTTAACAGAGAAGAGAACATGATTACTATAAGCGGTCATCCCTTTCACAATGCCACTTAAAGAAGTATCAAATATCTATAACATTCAAAGTACAGAACTGAATCTCAGCATGTTGCAAACAATAATCACTTTTCCAAGAATGTGTGAAATATATTTCCTCTTGCTATGAAGAGCTGGTTTCACTATTGAAAGTTTGTTAATGTAACTCTGTTAAACAAACACCCCCCCCTTTTTAGATTCTGTGGATATGAGGACATAAGCTGAATCAATAAAACCTTTTATGAAATACAGACCAGAGTCACACCTGTATATTATAACTGACAAAGGACTGAATCAGTCTCCTTAAAAATCAACCATCTCTACATTTGTCAGTCTCTACCTCTGCTTCATGTGTGGGTCAGCTGCTCTGTCTTCATTGAGTCTGTTTACATTTACAAGTTACACATTAAGCTGCTGCTGTGCTCCAGATGTGCTAATGCACAAACATCAAAAACACAGCAGTCAGAGTGCTGCCATGGGATTTAACAGCACATTATGTTTTATTTCGTTATTTGTTTTCATCTTTGTAGGCTCGTTCGTCTACATTTCAGCACGACCACTGTTTTACTACACTGGCAACAACAGAAACATTTCCATGGGTTGCAATGAAGGGACGATAGGTGCAGAGAATAAGCTCACTATTAAAGGTAAGTTTAGCTCAGTATCTTTATCTGAGTGTCTAAAGTGTAACTTTCTGTAGGAGTTTCATAACATAGTCCTCGCTGATGTTTTCTCTCTCCAGAGGATACTGCAGTAAATGTCTCTCTGGGTGACATCAGCAACATTCATGTCTCTGGAACGAACCGAGGATGCATTGGAGGAAGGAACGACTACTCTGTGACAGGTGGGTTATCCTTTCTCATATGGCTGGGCAAAGTGGGTGGTGGTTTATTTTGGATTCATTACTCATATTCAGAGATGTTTACAGCACATAACTGAACTGTTTCCAATCTCTCATATTCCTGGTATTTAAACAGGACGAATCCCAGCCAAGTCCAATATTGGCAACGTGCGTAATGTTACTGTTGGTAACAACTCGGGATCAATTGGTTCAGGGAACCGCATTAACATTAGCTGAGGTAAGAGGGAAGAGCACACATTAATTGGTCACACAGGACACAATATTTAATGTGTGTGTGTGTGCATATAACATGCTTGGGTGTGTTAATACTTTGTATTAATGCACCAGTTATTTCTAATTAATGTTTTTTATTCTATCTTGCTCTACCTTCTTTCTCCACCACTTTTTCCTCTCTTAGGAAACTGCTCTCAGACAGATCATGATCCACTTGGCCACAAATGACGTATGATAATGGAAATATGTTAAAACATGATGACAACAAATGACAAGACTGATGCTTGGAAATCAGGAAAGATAAAAAAAATCATGTGCTATAATATTAAAGAAAAGCAAATGAAAATAAAGTCAATATGCAGCATGAAACTGTCTTTACATTATTTTCTTTCACAGCAGACACAGCACATTTTCTTTCCATTTTTAAACTGAGCACTGGGAACATGGGAAAGATATTAGAAGTCTGATTAATCAAAACATCAGACACCTGATCACCAACTCAAAGTTTTCTGTTCAATGAAGATATAAACCAACTACAGTACGACTTGACTGGCCTCAGATAAACCAGCCCACTGTCAAAGTATGTCAATGAGGATGTGGTCGACTGTTTCAAAGGCCAAGACACAATCAAACAAAATCAAGAATGAGACTTCCACAGACTCAGCTAGATCAAGGATGTCATTCTATGTTGTTTCTGTGAAAACCAAAAGACTGAAATGTCTTAAAAGCACAGTTTGCTTCTAAATTTTTTAAGGAGTTGAGCACCATCTGGGTTATTATTAGCCATGCTAGCTGTGTGGCTCTGGGGATGGTCGGGCATCACTTTGGTCCAGACTGAAATATCTCAACACCAGTGTGGTGGATTATGATCACATTTTGTGCAAACATTCATGGTCCCCAGAGGATGAAGTCGCCTGATTTTTATGATCACCTGACTTTTCCTGTGGCGCTTCCAGCAGAGTGACATTTGTGCTTTTTAGCAAATTTTCTAAAATAATTTTTAGACAGGCTGCTATGAAATTTGACACTCATGGTCCCCTCAGAATGAATGTTAATAACTGTGGTGATCCCCCGTAGGTGAGGTGGGTTTAGACTGGAAGCCTGGTTATGGATCTCTAAATTGACCCCCACATCTTCGAGTATTATTGTGTTTTAAATAAACTTTTCTTTTTTTTTTAAATTAAAAATAAAGTGAGAGAAATGACAGCTCAGCCTAATTATCAGGCCAGTAAACCGGTGTATTATGACAGAGTCGCAGCAAGATGGGGCTATATCCAAACCTATGAACAGAGATGTGACTGAGCGTCTGATGCTACTTACTTAGTGAAGTTAAAATTTTCAGGAAAAAGCTTGACAGGGGATTATATAAAAGAAACAATTAAAAACTGACTTCAGTAAGATCATTCAAATAAGCTGCTCTGGCAAAGATGTGCCCTTGCTCTAAAATAACACTTCATGTGAATCTTTTCAACTTGAACTTGACGTTTTCTCTCTTTTACATAATGTGTCCTTCACAAAAACACACACCAACAACATAATAACTCCCAGGTATGTTTTGACAACAGCAACAATAGCAGCAATAGCATTTAACGTGCTGGCTGCTGGATCATCCAACAGTACTTTTAAAAGTTGCTTCATGAATAAATGTCTATGCTGTTCCCAGCCACCACACTGCTGATTCACAAGTTTTAGCCTCCGCTGCCACAAACTCATACAGAAAGTGAAGCTTCAGGTCACCAAACCAGAAGTCACAGTTCAGGTTAATGTCAGAGCTCAAACTGGTGACTCGTGGTGGTTCTATGGCGTCAGTATGGAACATTAAAAAAAGTACCAAGTCTGAAATTGAAATGAATTCATATTAAATGTGTAGATGATTGAACCCTACTGACTATAGAGACAGAGGTCATTTAAGTCACACCCCAACCAGACGAGAAAACAATTCATCGTTGACTTCACTGACATTATCGTCTGCTAGCAAACAACACAAAAATACATAAAAGCTACTTTGTGGTGGGATGCACAACCAACACAGATTCCATAACTTAGTTTTTACAGCTGCTTGCTAACTAAAAAAATGAACTTTTAAGCAATAAGACACGAGGCAACAGCAGGAGGATATGAGGAAAACTGTGGGACTGACACTCAGTATGCCTATGTGAGGCAAGCATTCTTCTAATTTGACCAGACAAACTGTAGAGGCTGAAGCTATCCATGCTACGAGAGGCCTAGTTTTGCTCTTATCTTTTAACTTAAATGATGATCTTACCTGGTAATTCGATGAAAAAGTAAATATCAAAGCATGATATCATTGGTCATTCAGTGGGATTGTTTCTCCAAGGTAAACCGCCAATATCGAGTTTGTTGGTGCAACTTTTCCTCTCTGGTAGACATGAGGAGCTAAAATTATCCTTTCACATGCTGGTAAGCTACAGGCATTTTGTCAGCGTTTCAGCCTTTGGTTGCATATTGTGGTGCCAACAGTTGGGTGGGCCGCTCCAGTGGGCGTGGTTTTCAGAGTGTGATGCGTTGCGCTCTGTCTCTATGATGTTACATGGCAAATGGATATCAGTGTCAGTGTATGAAATATCACTTAAATAAACATACAGATTTAGAAAATAGTGGGCCAACTTACACAGATGAAAGACACAGAGAGAGCTGTCTAAGTCCAACACATCAGATGTCACAGCATTGGCGAAAACTAATTATTAGAGGTGTAGAGACGCCACTAAAGTCACTTAGCATGTGGATATATCAAATGTTTGTTTTGACTGTGTTAAATTGGCCTTGAAAATAGCCTTGAAATCGCCTGCTTAATGTTTTAAATAATCCACGGTTTCCAAATACAGTAATAATGTCCAGTTTGTTTAAACTATCAGACATGTACTTGATTGATATTTGTTCCTTCTTTTACTAGACCCATGATAACATGTTAATTTCACAGATTTTGTTAAAGGAATTAAACTGAATTTAAACAAATCATGAATTCCACTGATTTTGTGGCTATTGTATAGAGCAATTCGCACTACGTAGACGGTGGCAAGCAAAGCTAATTCTTCCAAGAGCATGTGGTCATGTCTCCATAGTAATTGAAAATTGTTTTAATTTTACAAAATATAATGTTGAGCAAGTTACTGAGTACAAATTTGGTCAACTTTCTGTAGATAAATGGCTGATAGTGAGGATATATGCAGTGCTGTTCATGAGTTCCTGTAATGACAACTTGTTCCTTGAACAGAGAAGATTGGAGGAAATGTTACATTTACTGTCATGTGCTAGACACTGCTCTGTAACCACGGGCCCCACGTCACATTTGAACATTTCTGAGTGTAATTTCAAAAAAAAAAAAAAAATTCCTGAAATTGAACCTCAGTTGATGACAAATATCACGCGTCCTCTTTAGAGACTGTGGGAACAGAAGAGTTTTGCTGAATGAACAAAATACCTGTTAACCATACAAAAGAAGCCCCTCCTCCTAAACTGTAAGACGTTCAGAAAAATATAAAAAGCAGAGACTTCTCTTCTTAAATCACAACTAGCACCTCACAGCACAGCACAGGACGAACAACTGAAACCAGAGGTAAGATAAAGACTCCATGTGTATCTGTTTCTGATGCAACTGCTGTCTTTTAAATGCAACAAATTTACTATCTTAATTTTTATTTTGCATTTGTCATTGAGGCTACGACAGACTCTCGTACACTTGGTACTTGGTACAACATTTTGACTGAACCCATTTGTATGACAATCACTTTTTACTTTCTAAATCTCAGCAGGAACAATGGCGAAAGTTGCTGACACTGAGAACATTGTCATCGGCGACAATGCAGGGAAGGTTGGCTCTGAAAATGCTGTTGACGTTACAGGTAAATCTGAGTGTGTCAATACATTTCTGTCAGCTTGTCTTGACAGTTTCACTGAATCTCTTTCTCTCATGACCACTCTTACAGGAGGTGTTGGACAAAATGCTGCTCTGGGCAACACCTCTGAAATCGCTGTCTTGGGGCAAAATACAGAGAAAGCACGCATTGGAGCAGAGAACGCCTATAAAATACAAGGTGAGTTACTCCACATACGGGAAGAACAACCATTTATTTTTGATTCATTACTTGCATTAAGATGTCAGCATCTCAACGACAACAGAGTTTCTGTGGTTAACTTTTAATTTCTTCTATCAATCCTCATGTTTCTAACAGGGGGACTAAAAAGCGGTGACAGTGTTGGCAACACTACTAAAGTTGTAGTTGGCAGTAACTCAGGATCCATTGGTTCAGGGAATCGCGTCAACATCAGCTGAGGTAAGAAGTCAGAGATTTACATGCCTCATTACTATCAGAAGTTTGCATATGACATATTGTGAATGCATCATTGTAGAACTATATAATCTGAATTTTCTCATCAGTCTTTTAATAGTTCTCACTCTCTTTGTCTTTCTCCCTTTTAGGATGTTGCCCTCCAACAGATGACTCAACCAAAAATGATGCACCATTTGTTAAATGTTAAATTGATGATTTCAAATTGGCAGAAAATGTCATTCATCACAAGCATGTAACAGAAATACAAGTGAAAATAAAGTAAAGTTCTTGCTGTATGAGACTATCTCTGACTGAATATTTACCATTTTACTGACCCTTGGAAATGTTCTTATAGTGTTTGTCCTTCTTACAAACACTGTCATGAATTTGTTTCATATGTTTTTTTGTCTTTGTGATATTGTTTTTGTCAGAAAAACTGACAAACGAGCAGTTGGGTTATCTTATTATGCATTCCAGTTTTTAACCTAAAATGATTTACTATAAAGTGGTCACACACTCATAATCTCCCTTTAACTTGTAAATAAAGTGTCGGCACCGGTTATGACTTAGTTGTGCCATAATAAAAGGGGCATATACTGTTGCTGCAGAGGCCGGCTGAGTCTATGAAAAATATCTTCAATCAATAAACACCTAGATTTTTATTTAAAGTTCACGCAGTGATAAAATAAAATGACTTTGGTGCAAAGTCTACAGATCACTGAGCAGTCATTACAGGAAACACAGACTAAGAGTGACTAAATGTCAAAATTAATATGTGATTTAGTTAAATTCTGGATAAAAGACAAAACATTAAAGAGAATTATTTCTGGCAAATATGTCTCATTTTTCTCAGAGGGATTTTTTTGCAGAATATTTTTTATCTGTGCTCAGGATAACATCCAACACTTAGATATGAGAAAAGAGATTAATGTCAAAGTACTGAACATTTTAAAACTTTGAACTGCTGGCTAAGACCACTTTGGACAGGTAACTATTTTATTGAGGACATATATATAATATATAAAACTAACTGCAGCATATTTTATATATTTATATTTTATTATTTGGCTGTTCCCA